GTGTGTGTGTGTGTGTGTGTGTGTGTGTGTGTGTGTGTGTGTGGGCGGGGGGGGGGGGGAGACAGGGGGTTGAATGAAATTGTTACAGAGAGAATTTGAGTATTTCCAATATTACAGCAGATGAGTCCAGAGTAGTATTGTGAATTAGCTTGAGAGATGGAGTCCTTGTCAAGGGATAGTTGAGCTGTGTAGATTCCCTTGTGAACAGTGAGACCGGTTTTCCTGTAGAGTCTCTCAAGCTGCCGAGTTTTGGATTTAATGGAACGGAGATAAGGAGTGAACCAGCGGGCGGACCGAGTAAAAAAGACAGAGGGGACTTGACAGGAGCGAGCGTATTGAGAATGTTGGTAAGACCAGAGTTTTATTGGGAAACCAAAAATGGATCTGGAGGGCCGAGAGAGGCATTTTAAAATGGTACACATGAGCTACGATAGTTAACATGCTGCAAAAGTGCGTCCCATGCCTTCGCGTCAGGTCTGGACAAAGGTAGGAACCGATTTCCTTTTCACAAAGCCAAAAACTCTTGTGTCTACTTTATTTTTATTTTTTGTTCATCTTAGGGGCCGTGAGAGCCGTTGCTCATCATGGCATACGTGCGTAAGTGCATGCGTAGGCACGCGTGTGTGCGGTAACGGGTCGATCGTGGGAGTTGGTTGATCGAAGAGTAGATCTTCGTTCAAAAACGGTTGGGCACCCACGTTGGACAACAATTACTGCCACTAGTCATTTAATAAATGGGGCAATGATTATGTGCACCAACTGCAAAACCGTCATAGCATTGTATCACACAACTGATCCCTTTATCCCTCTGCTCAATGACTGCAAATTGTCGCACAGCTGTCATTGGCTGGTACTACTGCACAATGATACCCTTACATTAAAGAAAGTCTTTCTCGACTTCTATGTCATATCTTTGCTTGTTGTAGTTGCTTGTTGAAGTACGAGGATAGCTCATCCACAAATTCCTGATTTTACATGTTTGGCCAATAAAGATGATTCTGATTCAGATATAAAATGCTCTATGAATAAAGTTGAGTTGATAATTATTTATATGGGAGGAACCAGTTGCAATTTGACGCCATAACCAACAAGCATGATCATGTCTGTGAAAATGAAGGACAGAATGTCTGCTTTGAGGTCACATTCAAGCAACTCAGTAGTGCAGAAGAAAAATCATCTTTATTATTTGAATCCAACACAGGTGGCAAAGATGTGGGGGTATCTTGCAATTATGCAGGAACGACCACACGATGATCATTACGATTAGGGCTCAATGCTTAGGGACACAATTTATTTTGGAATAAAACCAACTCCATTTCTATGGTCTAGGCTTGACATGTCCAGGTAGTCCAGGTGGTGAACTGGATTTTGGTGGTCAAGGTGGCTGTGTCTCTAACCACAAATAGGTTGTCTGAATGAGCAAGGTGGTGGTTAAACATGGGTCGTTTTCATCCGGAGTAACTGGAGTTGGCTCGGTAGGTCTTGTTGGGAACCAAGATGGTAGTCCAAGTTTGAAAGGTCGTGTTCTAGAATATTTTTTGCATCAGGAGGAAGAGATGGTCCAGGCAGTGGTCCAGGTTGCAGGGTGCTGGTCCAGGTTGGAAGAGTCGTGGGGCAGGTTGAAAATTTAGTGTTCAGGACAACAGGTGCTGCACTGGTGGCTGCTATTTGCTGGGTGGCTAATTATGATATGAAATAAAATGTGGTCCTAGTGATGGTATAGCCTGGCAAAGCTGGCAAGGTGGGCCATTTTAATCCATGGTAACAGGGGGGCCCCCATGTGATCGGGGTTGTGAAGATGATGGATCATAAAATGTTGGATCAGTTGGTGGTGGCAGTGGCCCAGGTATTGTACATGGTGGTCGCCCAGGTGGCTACGATGGTTGTGGCTAATATGGTGGTGGCCCAGGTGGCCAAGGTGCTGGTTCCCTAGGTGGCCAAGGTACTGGTGGCCAAGGTGGTCGTTGCCCAAAAGGCCAATATGGGTAGTGTAGTGGTGGCCCGGGAGGACCTGGTGGTCCGGGTGGTCCTGGTTCACTAGGTGGACCTGGTGGTCCAGGTGGTCCAGATGGTCCTGCTGGTCCAGGCGGTCCAGATGGGCCTGGTGGCCCATCTGGTCCAGGTGGTCCTGGTGCCCCGTCTGCTCCAGGTGGGCCTGGCGGCCCATCTAGTCCAGGTGGTCCAGGTGGCCCATTTGGCCCTGGTGGACCATCTGGTCCAGGTGGTCCTGGTGGGCCATCTATCCCTGGTGGACCACCTGGTCCAGGTGGTCCTGGTGGACCATCTGGCCCTGGTGGACCATGTGGTCCAGTTAGTCCTGCTGGACCAGGGGGACCTGGTAGACCAGGTGGTCCCCCAGGTGGTCCTGGAGGTGATCCAGGTGGTCCCCCAGGTGGTCCTGGAGGTGATCCAGGTGGTCCCCCAGGTGGTCCTGGAGGTGATCCAGGTGGTCCCCCAGGTGGTCCTGGAGGTGATCCAGGTGGACTTCCTGGAGGTGTTCCAGGTGGACTATTGTCATCTAGGGTAAAATCTGCATTGGATGGCAACTGTCTCTTTATCTTAGCAGAAAGACAGCTGGTTCCTGTGATAAAGAGTTGACATCTTTGTTAGATGGAGACCTTTCACTGACTCTTTATTACTTGCTAGTTGAGAGTTTGATGACTTACCGAACAGCACAAGGGCAACAGTGAACACCTTGAGAATGCTCATTGTGGCTGATGATGTCCTAAAAGACAGTGAAAAGGGACGGTAAACGTATATCGAGAGAAGGTCCATCAGGTGAACGTGGTGGGAGAGTTGGCTGCTTGGACACACTCAGTTTGTTGAGGCCCATGCCTTGCCACGAGGGACCTGGACCGCCCGTGGGAAGAAGGCTGATTCGTCTCCACCAATCTTCATGTTGTGGCCATTGGACGGAATTCTCATATTTATCGAAACCACTACTTTTCAGGAAATCTTTTTTTTTTTGAGTCGCTAATTGCTCATTTATTATTCTGTCATTGACGAACATGGTGCCAGCACCAATCATGCACTTCAAAGTCCACGGTCACACAGAGCCTCAGCGTGCAAAAGCCTTCAACTTCACAAACCATTTGTGAACAAACGTTTGCATTGTAGAACTCAGTGGATGCTCAGCATTTTCACGGTTCCTCACTTATCTGGAGATTAGTTTTTTCACCCATCCATCCATCCATCCATCCATCCATCCATCCATCCATCCAATTTCCAATCCGCTTATCCTCACAAGGGTCGCGGTGAGTGCTGGAGCCTATCCCAGCTCTCTTCGGGCAGTCGGCGTGGGACACCCTGAACCGGTTGCCAGTCAATCACAGGGCACACAGAGACGAACACCCATCCGATTTCACAATCACACTGAGGGACAATTTAGAGTGTTCCATGAACCTGCCATGCATGTTTTTGGAATGTGGGAGGAAATGGAAGTGATCGGAGAGAACATGCAAACTCCACACAGGGAGGCCGGAGCCAGAATCGAACCCTGCACCTCTGCAATTAGTTTTTTACAGATTTAAAATACTTTTTTTGTGGGACCAGCCCCCATTTGTTGTGGAAAATGCTTACTGGTAGTATATCACCAATTTTTCATGAATCTTTTGGGTTAACCAGTCGAAAATCTTGATTCTACCTTTCTATCTGTTTCCGTTCTTTAGTAATCAGCAGAACATAGCACAATTTTTTAAAATTCACCTGCTTCTCACAAACTTTGGAGAAAAATTACTTTTTTGAAAACAAGCATGTCAAGAAGAAGGCAGACTTTGGTGCTCATATTTTTACTTCCATGACGCTATTATCTGAACAGTGGTTCTATTCTATGAAGCAGGGTAGCAACATTTCGAAGTGGCTTTTGATCTCAAAATAATTTATTGATGAACAAGCAGTGTGAGTGGCTCCCCAAAGAAAAAAAAAATTGCTCAATGTCACAAATGGGTTTTGTTGTTTTTATTCAGAATCCGAAAGCGTTATTGATCATTATTTTAAGCTCTGCCTCATGATAGTGGGTAATGCATGAATGCATTAAAATATAATTAGGCACTTATGTATAATAATAAATCTTCACTGAACAAAGACGGAGAAACAGTGACCAAATTCCTCAAGAAAGTGTGTATCTGTGTGTGTGTGTGTGTGTGTGTGTGTGTGTGTGTGTGTGTGTGTTGTAACATTCCTTTGATTTGTGACTTTTTTAATTTAATGGGAAAATTACTGTCAAAAAGAAAAGCGGTATGTAAGTTTTGTTTTGTTTGTTTATAAAGCACCATCCATAGTCTCCACAGCGTTAGTACTTTGGCCTCTTCTTGTTCAGGTCATGTATCCGGAAGTATGGAGACAGTTTTTCCCCCAAGGTGTGAACTCTACTGTACTTACTTCTGGCTTGCCAAAGATTAATTGCAATGTTGGTTTTTTGGTGCAATTGTCAGGATAATGAGGCTGACAAAGTGGAGCATGTCGCCACAGCAAGCTTTGGCACTGGGAGAGATGATTTTTTTACACCGACTCAAAGACATTAAGATGGAACACTTGGGTTTCAATGTTAGCCATTTGGGCTGGAAAAAAAATCATGAAACACTAAGATTTTAATAAGTTATTTGTTTGGAGTATGCCCTAGTGTGAATGTTTTCAAGTCCAAGTTGCTTCGTTTCCAGTGCCTATGATTGAGCTCAATACTTTTCCTAAAATTCAATTTTAAAAATGTTTTTCTTCCACTGTCATTTTAATTTCATGTAATTTTATTTCTGTACCTTGTTTTAAATGTCCTCAATTCATGTCAAACACATTCATTAAAAATATTCAACCAGAGATGGGCAACTGGTGGCCTGCGGGCGCAGGCGGCAGACTCTTTGAGTGGCCTCTTGATTAATTCCTAAAAAAAAAATTCTACCTCAATAATATAACAAGTTTAAGTTAGGTGGTATTTGTGAAAAAATGCACAGCATGTATTCATACAGCTAATATTGGTTTGCTCTTCATCCGTTTCGTGCCATCCTCGAATGGTCATTTTTACGCATGAGAGCCCTTTGCGCTGGAATATAAAAAAATAAATTTGCACAGATGCACATGTTTTGTCCGTATTTAAAATGCCATTTTTGTCATAAGTTTGAATTGGAAGTGTGTGGTCCTACGTAACCTTTGTCAAAATGAATATTTTTCCCTGAAGCGTACAAAGCGCAACACCAAACATGTCCAACATTAATGTTGTGTTCCCTGAAAACACTTCAGGATGGCGATAGTACTCACCACACACACTCAAGTTTGCTCTTAGAACCCCTCTCAGGCCTTGTGTGGTTGACAGTCCTGCTTCCGTCTCTCTTCTGTCACCTCACAGTTGTTATCGGAGAGCTTAAATCACTTGTCTAGCCACCATTAAGGTGGAGCCCTTGTGCATTCGGGTGGGTCATTTAATTGACTTTCTTTTGTTGTCACACAATGACATGTGGTTTCTGTGGTGGATATTGCCAAGCGGTATTTCTTCGTCATGTTGCAAAGTTGTAATCGATCAATTAATTGCGTCACTTTGAAATGAATAGAACACATAAAAGGTCACTGCCACTGGAATGCTATCTGCAGGTACATGGAGTTCTATTACATCTTCAAACAGCTGATACATATTTTGTTTTTGTTTTTTTATTTATTTTTTAATCCACTGAGCAACAAGGAGCTGGGTGTTGTATGTGATAAAGGCTATTGTGGCTTTGCAGAGAGGACAAACTGGTTTTGTCTCCTAAGTCAGTAAGTATTAATCACAATACCATGACACATTCGTTGAAATAATCATGTGACATGGCCATAATTTCAGAAAATTAAGTTATGAGTTATTTATAATATGGGGCTGGAAATAAAACACAGCTTTTCACTTGTTTTATATTTCATTTTGTTGCACCCATACTTAAATGAAAATGAGAATTAGAATGAGAATCATTTTTTTTTGCCATATTTCCTACACCAGGAATTTATCACCAGTAGGTAGAGCAATTTTCACACGATAGCAAACAAAATGTACATTTTGGACACATTAAGTATGGAGAGCTAATGAGAAATGTAAGGTGTCCTGTAGTCTGATAGAACTGATAAAATGACAATTGTGCAAATGATCCCGAGTCCTAAAGCAATTAAAAGTGGCCAGCAGTGCAGTAGTTGACACCAACAACAGTTATGCAAATAACGCAGCATGATGAATTTACAATGAAAACGGCAACAATGTCAAAACATGTCCTAAAACACAATTGTATCCAATGGCTTTCAGCTCAAGATGAGACTGGGCAGTCTTAGTGCAGGGGTGGACAAACTAGGTCCTCATGGGCCGCTGCCCTGCCTGTTTTCATTCTCCCCCTTCTGTAACACACGTGATTCAAATGATCAAGATCGTTTTCAAATTTTTCCAGAGCTTGCTGAAGAGCTGATCATTTCAATCAGATGTGTTGCAGCAGGGAGCAATGGAAAACAGGCAGGACGGTGGCCTTGGAGCAGCGGTCACCAACCTTTTTTGCCCCACGGACCGTTTTAATGTCAGACAATGTTTTCACGGACCGGCCTTTAAGGCTTGGCGGATAAATACAACAAAATAATATGATATGACCTGCATGAAAAGTGTGTGTTTTTTTTCTCAACATAATAATTAGCACGAATCATGACACGAGGAAAGGCCTATCTGTCCGGAATACCCTCTGGTCGCTATAGTAATGTTGAAACGTGCCTTCAAAATAGATACAACGCAAATACAACCGCTGCCCTTGAGGACTGGAGTTGGACATGCACGTCTTAGTGTTTTATGGTGTCTGCCGTATTTGTATAAATTGATTGTTTTCACTCTCTTTGTTATTGTCTGAATATTTTTTTTATTGCATAGACAGCACTTTGTAGGCAACAATGGTTGTTTTACAATCTTCCACAACACTAGACACTTTAAAGCGCTCAAAGACATTCTGCATAATTGTATACCTCAAGTTGCACTACAATTACTGCTACTAGTCATTTAAAAATGGTGCAATGATTATTTGCACCGACTGCAGAACCTTCATCGTATTGTTTTGCACCACTGATCACTTTATCTCTCCTTGATGACTCTGCAAATTGTGGCACAGCTATCATTGGCTAGGACAACTGCAAAATGGTACCCTTACATTAAAGAAAGTCTTTCTAGACTTGTATGTCATATCTTTCCTTGTTGTAGTTGCTTGTTATTGCAATCTAGGATAGCTAATATACAAATTCCTTATTTTACATGTTTGGCCAATAAAGATGATTCTGATTCAGATTTAAAATGCTCTACAAATAAAGTTGAGTTGAGTTCGGTCGGTGGAAGATGTACATATGGATGATAATTCTTTATATGGGAGGAGGCGGTTGCAATCTGATGCCATAACCACCAAGCATGATCATGTCTGTGAAAATGAAGGACAGAATGTCTGAGTTGAGGTCACATTCAAGAAACTAAATCATGCAGAAGAAAAATCATCTTTATTGTTTGAATCCAACACAGGTGGCGTGGAGGGGGTGGGGGTATCTTGCAATTATGCATGAACGACCACGCGACGATCATTATGATTAGGGCTCAATGCTTAAAAACAAGATTACTTTTGGAATAAAAACAACTCCCTTTCTATGGTCGAGGCTTGACATGTCCAGGCAGCCTTTTCATCCATGGTAACAGGTGGCCCCCTGGTGATCCAGGTTTTTAAGCTGATGGATCATAAAATGTTGGATCAGCTGGTGGCGGCAATGGCCCAGGCATTGAACATGATGGTGGCCGAGGTGGCTAAGATGGTGGTGACTAATATGGTGGTGGTCCAGGTGGCCAAGGTGCTGGTGGCCTTGGTGGCCAAGGTGCTGGTGGCCAAGGTGGTTGTTGCCCAAAAGGCCAATATGGGTAGTGTAGTGGTGGCCCGGGAGGACCTGGTGGTCCGGGTGGTCCTGGTGCACTAGGTGGACCTGGTGGTCCAGGTGGTCCAGATGGGCCTGCTGGTCCAGGTGGTCCAGATGGGCCTGGTGGCCCATGAGGTCCAGGGGGTCCTGGTGCCCCATCTTGTCCAGGTGGGCCTGGTGGCCCATCTAGTCCAGGTGGTCCTGGTGGCCCATTTGGCCCTGGAGGACCGCCTGGTCCAGGTGGTCCTGGTGGACCATCTAGCCCTGGTGGACCATCTGGTCCAGGTGGTCCTGGTGGACCATCTTTCCCTGGTGGACCATGTGGTCCAGTTGGTCCTGGTGGACCAGGATGACCTGGGGGACCTGGTGGCCCTCGCTTAAAGAATGGAAACCCAGGTGGTCCCCCAGGTGGTCCTGAAGGTGGACCAGGTGGTGACCTAGCTGGTAACGGAAGTGACTGAACATTGCCATCTGGTTGAACATCTGTATCGGATGGCAGTTGTCTCTTTATCTTCGCAGAAAGACAGCTGGTTCCTGTGAAAAAAAATTGTTACATGGTGACTTTTCATTTCCTCTGTTACTTGGGAGATGAGAGTTTGATGACGTACCAAACAGCACAAGGGCAACAGTGAACACCTTGAGAATGCTCATTGTGGCTGATGATGTCCTAAAAGACAGTGAAAAGGGACGGTAAACGTACATCGAGAGAAATTCCATCAGGTGAACATGGTGGGAGAGCTGGCTGCTTGGACACTGTTTGGTGAAGCCCAGGCTCTATACCTTGCCCCGAGGTACCTGGACTGTCCTTGAGAAGAAGGCAGATAACTCCCTGCCAATCTTAATGTTGCCGGCGTTGGACGGAATTCTTTTATTCAGTGAAAATTGCTGTCATTGACTGCAATGCACTTCAAAGTCCACAGTCACACAGAGTCTGCCCAGCTGGCACACTGTTTGAGCAGCCCCTTGATTAAGTTTCAAAAATAAAAATTAAAAAAAAAACCCTCAATAATATTACAACTTAGAGTAAGTTGATAATTGTGAAAAAAATGCACAAAATGTATTCTTAAACCTAACGTTGTTTTCTTGTTCAGCCATTGTATGCGATCCTTGAATGGTAATTTTTATGTACGAGAGCCCTTTGCACTGGAATTAAAAAAAAAAAACAAAACAAAACATCACAGTGTCTGGTTAATTTTTGCTTGTTCAAGCCCTTTATTGTTGAAGGATGGATCTTTTATAACTGCGCTGAGAAGTGTATTATGAAAAATGAAATTTGTTGAGAGCACGTATTTTGCACGTATGCACATGTTTTGTCCAGATTTAAATTGCCATTTTTATCATACTTCTGGTTTGGAAGTTGTGGTCCAATGTGACCTGAGTCCAAATGCATATTATTCTCTTGATTGTTCACAGCGTCACCCCCAATATGTCCAACATTAATGTTGTGTTCCCTGAAAACACTTCAAAATAACAAAAGTACTCACCACGCACACTCAAGTTTACTCTTGGAGCCCCTCTCAGACCTTGCGTTGTTGTCAGTCCCGCTTCCGTCTCTCTTCTGTCGTTTCACAGGCGGTAATGGAGGACTTAAATCACTTGTCTGGCCACCAATTAGGTGGGGCCCTTGTTTATAAAGGTGGGTCATTTAATTGATTTTTCTTTTCTTTTCACATAATTACCGCCTGTGGTTTCTTTTAGGTGGGTTTTGCTGAGCAGTTAAAAAAAAAAAAATCCACCTAGCAACAAGGAGCTGCGTGTTGTACGTCATGAAGGCTATTTTGTGGCTTTGCAAAGAGGACAAACTGGTCCATCTCTCCATTATCAACACCCCTTGTCCTGAACAGGCTCACAGGGAGGTGCTGGAGCTTATCTCAGTTGACTTCGGGCAGAAGGTAGTCGACACTCTGAACTGGTCGCCAGTCTGTCGCAGGGCACAGAATGAGACAAACAAACATTCACACGCACATGAGTGTCACTGAGTAGTAACTGATCCCACGCTGTCCGCACACAAGCCAGGCGTGTGTACCACGACACCATCAGCGACTATCATGGTACATTAGATGAAATAATTAAGTGTTGTGGGCAAATTATAAAATTTCATAGAATCAATTATTCACAACATGCAGCTGGAAATAAAATACATCTTTGAACTTGTTCGATATTTCATGATGTTTCACTCATAATATTAGTGTGAAAAACAAAATCAGAATCATTGTTATTTCCCATTTCTAAATACACAAGGAATTTATCACCAGAAGGTGGAGCCACTCTTACATTACAGCAGGGGTGTCCAAAGTCGGTCCTCAAGGGCCGCTGTCCTGCCTGTTTTCCAGCTCTCCCAGGAGCAACACACCTGATTCAAATCATCAGGATCGTTCTAATGCTGCTTCAGAGCTGGCTGATGAGCTGATCATCTGAATCAGGTGTGTTGCAGCTGGGAGAGCTGGAAAACAGGCAGGACAGTGGCCCTCCAGGCTCGGAGCTGGACATGTCTGCATTACAGCAAACACATTTCTGGCATAGACATGTATGTTTTGAGAGTCAATGAGAAATCTAAGGTGTCCTGTCGTGTGATAGAACTGATAAAATGACAATTGTGCAAATGATCCAGAGTTCCAAAGTAATTAAAAGTGACCAGCAGTGCGGTTGTAAAGTTGAACAACAGTTACACAAATAACGCAGCGTGACGATGTTACAATGAATATGGCAACAATGTCATGACATAGAAGTGCATCATTTGAAGAAATGGACAAAATGTCTCTCAGGAAATAAACATCAACTCTATATGAAGTTAATGGCAAGAGGGACGAAGCTGTTGGAATGTGTGCTTATTTGAATGTGCAGGTCAAGCAATTGAGAACAGTTTGTCTTTCACAATGCTAACCTGGAGACAATGTAGCATTCAGAGTCTTGCCCAAGGTCGCTTTGACAGCCGACATTTGCAGTTGTGATTCCATTCATTCCGTCGCTGGATGACCCACTCTACAAACTAAACTAAAGACCTGTCTTACTTCTTGCAGCATATTAGCCCTCTTGACCAGATACCAATGATATTTTTGGCAGTCCTAATTATGCCTCAACAATTTGTCGTTTTCTGATCAAAACTGTGATTTCAGACAATGATCGTGTGCTCATCACAACTCTTTTTCTCAGTGCTCTTCGCCTCCCCAGCTAACCAATCAGAAGCAGGATGCTCCTCGTGAAGAGGTCACACAAACCCATCAACTCTGTGGACATCTGTGGCATTTTTACTCTCACGGTGACCTCCCAACTTGGGATCGAACCATGCTGTCAGCTTGGTAGCGCAGAGCATTGATCTCTGAGCAAAAACTCCAGGCAGCCAGCCAACTCACTTTAACCCTTTCATGAACCAATAATCATAACTTGTAACCTGATAACATGATGGCTGTCCACTGTAGTGACCGCTGTCCCTGAAAGGGTTAATACCTTATTCGAAGGTATGCAAAGTGAGCATTTACAATTAGCTGGCATCCATTTTACATAATCCGTGGGGGTGGGGGGGGCAATAGGGTTGGATGCCGAGGGGAGAATATGACCTCTCTATCCCAGGTGGATTCCATACAATATGAAAAAAAAAAATTGAATCAAAAAATTTGGGGGGCATACAAGCTCAACTTTTGCCCTTGCCATCTACTTTGCTTTGCATGCCACTGCGAAACAATCAAAGCATCATATCTGATTTATGAGCCATTCACTGTGTCACAGATCCGTTTATATATGCACTGGGACATCTTCTGCCCCACTATTTTAGAAAGACTGATTTAGAGAAAATGGTTATTTTTCCTCAAGAGGGCTTCATGTAACTTACATCAGTAAAAAATGGAAACTCATTCCATGCATCGCCTTTTTATCAGAAAAGCGTAATATGCTGCCATGTGTATGTTCAACTTTGTATTATTTTCCGGAAATTATTCTAATTGTCCAGGGCAGTCAGATTTTATTCTCCTTTGCAGCATCCAAGGTGGTACAGGTAGAGAAGATGGTGGCGCTGGTGGACTTGGTGGCTCCTTCACTGTTGCTGTGGGCATATTGGTAGCACTCGCTGATTTTCCTCTCATCTTTGCATCAATTTTGGAGGGACATCCAGTTCTCATTAATTTTAGTGATGTGCCATATTTTCTCCCCTCCCCTTGATGATGACTGTCTTGACTGTGTTCCAGAGTACATTTAATGCCTTGGACAGATTTTTAGAACATTCTTCTGACAGAGACTTTTGATCAAAAAAGATCCCTCTATTGTGTTGGAGGATATCGCCTCCATGGTTTCTGCTGTCGGACGTTGCCAAAAAATGTCAGGAGAATCCAATTCGAACATTTGAGGTAAATCAAAGGTATTTTAAATCTTAGCAGGTGTGTGCTGACTCCCAGTTAACCATCCATTAATTCATTGTTCGAGCCACTTATCCTCACAAGGGTCACAGCATGCTGGAGCCGATCCCAGAATTATTTGGGCAGAAGGCGGGGTACACCCTGAACTGGTTCCCAGCCAAACGCAGGGCACACAAAGACAAACAACCATTCAAACTCACAGTCACACCTAGGGACAATATAGAGTGTTCAATTAACCGACCATGCATGTGTTTGGAATGTGGGAGGAAACCAGAGTACCAGGAGAAATGCCACGTAGGCAGGGTAAGAACTGGACACAGGAAGGCTGGGGCCAGAATCAAACCTCTGCACTGTGAGGCGGACGTCCTAACCAGTCGCCTACCCTGGAGCTCTAAAGGAGAGGACTTGCTCCCAGAACCTCTGTGTCCTGGTTCACTGAAAACAGCCACATCCCCAGCTATAAGAGAGTGTGCAAGTGCAACCACATGTAATGGGAATTTGACGTATAACAGCGCTAAATGGAAGTAACCTTTGAATACCGACCAGTTATTTTGCGGATAAGCAAAGTTGCCTGTTCATGCACTAGTCTGCACTCTGTGTAGCTGCTCAAAATACTGATTGTGCTGACCTTCACCACCTCCCAACAAGATAAAACGAGAGCGCAATACGCAAGGAGGGCGGGGGGCTCCCTTGACAGATCATTTTTGATAATACTTCTTGTCTTGGCTTCCCTGGACAAGACAATCATTTCCTCAGTTGTTTATTTTCACCTTCTTCCTCCAAATGATTTTCTTTTTCTTCAGCTGAGTTCTTGAGGCTATAGGTCACATTGATGCTGGAAAAAAGTTTCCTTATGATTTTATGCTGAACTCATTCATTCTTGGAACCACTATTCCTCACTTGGGTCATGGCTTGCTGGAGCCTATCCCAGTTGTCTAAAGGTATCTTCGTCTCCATCCATCCATTTATTTTCTAATCAACATGAGGGTCACGGGCATTCTCGAGCCTACCCCAGCTGTCTTCAGGCTTAAGGCAGGGTACACCCTGAACTGGTTACCAGCCATTCACAGTTATCTTGGTCCGCTTTTTTTTAAATCAAAAAAGCCTCTCATTTATGTAGTTTTTTTTATATCCACAAGTCCCTTTGTATATTTTGTTTGCTGAGAGCACATCAAGATGGACAAAGCAATCACCACATCCAATCAAGTACGCTCTTGAGAAAACTGCTCGGTTCTTCCGACGGTTGCAGTGATGTGCGGTCAGGGGCAGCAAGGGAGGCAGAGCCTCACGAGCACCATCTACTGGACGTCCTCTGCATGTGAAGATTTCCAAGAAAGTGTGGAAAAAAAACGTTCCATTTTATTTCGAGGGTTCGTGATTTCCAATGATTTTCTTTTTCAATCCAATAATCATCAATTATTATTTTCCCATTAAAATAGCTGGATGTGCCTATTTTCTATGCAGGATGAGCACCAAGTGAAGTGAAGCGCGCCGCAGCCTTTTCAAATCAGGCAATCGGCTTGTGCAGTCACACAAGAGACGTTGTTGCTTGTCTTTCTATCACCAATAAACATTTTTTATCACACATGCACTGCACATGCTCATGTTCAGCAGTGTCTAGAACATTTTTAATGAATGTGTGTGACATATTAATTTGCTCTTACGACCAGAAAAGCAACTTAAAGGGCACACTGGGGTCTGGTACGTGTGGTTCCACAGCCAGCATGTGGCAGTGTTGCGCTCAACTGCCGCAATGCAAAGAAGAAGTTTTGGAATAAATGTAATTCTGTTATCCCAATACTTCGCAAATACCTCATAGACAATGGGGTAGGTTGATAATGGTAGATTTGTCAGACCGGAAGAGCTCAGGCTGCTCCTGTTCTAGCTTTTAAGACAATATCTTGTTGTTACGTGAACGGCTTCTGGTCAAATTAACTGTTGCTTGTGAGAAGATAACATCAACTCCAGGACACCATGTGAGGGACATCCCAAGCTGTGTACGTGGACCATCGACATCCAACAGGAGCCGTTTGACGACATCTCAGGAATGAACTGTGTGTTCTCAGTGAAACTCTCCTTTACTGAAACTGTTGTGGAATGTGAAAATACTCCTCACACCCGTTAGAAGATCGTGTATCAGGGACATCCTTCCAATAAATGCAAGGAGACAAACGCAGTCTCTTCAGAGTTGCCCCGGAACCTGTAACGGTTTACATTGCAGAGCCAGCTGGAGAGCTGC